CCACGTAGATATAATTTGTGAACTTTCAGTCGAGAACAGCCTGGAACCGTGACCATCAGGTTACTGTCACACTTCTTTAGGTAGTACTTAAAGTACCAATCTCTTTGATCTTAGTGTGCTGGCCAAACGCGGTCGCACTTTAAGCACATGGTTTCAAAAGTTCTTCCATGTTTGAAGTAATTTCGCCGAAAATACGATAAAGTAAAGAAGTATTTCTTAGAATTTGTTCTTGTTGTTGCTTGCTGAAAGATTGGTAAGTAAAAATTAAGGTGATTGTATGAAACTCAAGCTGGACTGGTTAGTTGCATGAACGACATAAGGTGAACGACATAAGCTTTCACTAATGTTTACAAATTTTCATCTTCTTGAAGGGAACAACAATGCCGTCATCTAGGAAAAAATTGAGGTAGGTTCATCGAAGCAGTAAAATTAGAGCTTCTAATTATACAAAAAAAGTTTTTAAGAAAGTGAGGATTAGTCTCTAACGCAGACGCTTTTTGCTTTAAGCTCGTCACGCAATCTTCCTCGTGGTGGAGGAAGATTGCGTGACGAGCAGCGTAGGAGGCTTACTTAAGATAAGCTTTAAAATGTTGCAGCCTTGGAAATCTCAGGGGAGGGGTGGTGAACTTTGATCCTATGAGAAAAGTTCTAGAGTGCCTAAAATTTGAAAGAAACCCGTGAGGGAGACCAATCAAGGTACAGCTTGAGCTTTATTTGAACTTAAATTGATACACCTTAAAAGAAACAGAGAAGTATGGATTACAGTGATTTAACTGATGGTGAGCATACTTATATTATGTTGCCACCAAATACTATCTCCGGTAAATAGACTTTTAGATTTGATGACGGGCAGTCTCCCCCCACTCCCTTCCCCCACACCATGCCAAATCTATTTTGTACTTGTTTTNAACCTGGCCAACTGAGAGGAATGGCTCTTACCATTTTCTATTCGTTTCCCCAATCCCTCGCATAGGTGACAATCTACTGAGCAGAAGTCGGGCAATGAACCAATTTGTCAAGTGGAAAGGCAAATTTCGGTTAGACCAATTAAAGTGGACTTCCTCTAGAAGCTGCGATCCTGAATATTCCTGTCGACCGGACTAAACCGAAACGGACCTTTCTATTTGATTTGAGTTTCGACCAAAATTTCTGGAAGTTTTGGTACATGTACTATGGAAAGTATTCCCAGCAAATCCATCAAAGAAGATTTTGTTACATTTTCACCTTTACACCTGTTTCTAATTAAAGTATAATTGCGTTTGTTTTTAGCTGGTTCATTTAGCGGGCAGATGAGTGTCATCCGGTCAGTGTCTGTCCCTCCAGCTACGCTGCCAGAATCTTCACTGTCTGTCCAAAGACAGCCACCCAGTCAATTCATAAAAAAGTGGAAGCCATTTGGTTATAGTAGGTCTTTGCTGTTTGTAACATGTTAAGTGCAATGTTATCAATAGAGGAATCCTAGTTTGTAAACTTACAAATTCTGCCTCATTAGCATAAGCGGATTCAGTTTTTTGATCAAGCTACAAAAATATCGGTTCAGGATTTTGAAAGGGCATAGCACGATTAACTGTCCCAAGGAATTTGAGCACAATGTATTGAATACATTCTTTGTTATCAGCTGAAGGTTGAAAATGTAAAAGAAGAACATTTCTTTTTTAAACAGGAAAGCCCCGGCGAAAGATTAAACACACGGCAGAAGAAATGTCAAGCAATTTATCCGAACAAATCGAGGATCCAAAAGATCAATCCCGAAAGCGCACAATAGAGGGGCAGTTGAAGAATTTGGAAGAGTCCAGGAACAGTAACGCGAGCGGATTAATAAAGCATGACTCTCCGAAAAAGAAGAAGAAAGACAAAGCAAAACATGAAGTTGACTTGATGCTGGTTAAAACTGAACCCAATACAAATGCTAGTTCTGAGAGCGCGGCAAGAAATGGAGAAGAACGTTCAGATTCTCCAAGAAAGAGGAAGGCGGAAATGAGTGTAAATGAGCAAAGGGAAGAAGATTTAGCGCTTACAACGAGCAAGAAAAAGAGGAAGGTCAAATCTGTAAGCTCGGACATGATAGTGAAACAAGAGCCAGTTATGCCAGGCGATAATTCGTCACGTCATTCTAGGAAGCACCAAAAAGATGGTGCTGATCTAGGGGAGTCACCTTCTTTAAAACAAAAGAAGATCATTAGTGAGAATGAATTTGACTTGGCGCGGGTTAAAACAGAACCCAAAGAATCACATAAAAAGAAGAAACATTCCAAAGCTAAAACATGCTGATTATATGTAACACTAAGCACTTGAAAATGTGGCCAATATCTCCGATTATCTTCCTTACTCAGTAAAATATATTCTCACAATTACTTTGCCGTTTATTAGTTAATTATTTGGGCCTTTCTTTCTATGCCTCTCACCAACTGAGTTCGAGGTCCGTACTTAGCTCTTATTAACCGAGCTGGAGGTCTGTATGGGAGAATCTTGACCGAGGTCGTGAGTACAGAC